CAATCAGATCATGGGAATCATGAACTTCTAACTTGATCAGGAAGAATAAGTCATTATTACCTGAAACTATTTCAGGTTTTTGATTACTGTTCATTTGGTATAGGAAGCTTAATTGGAACAGTCTTTTTTTTCTTAGAATTTCTGCTTTTGCACAGAAAACTGCACATCTCCCTTGACCTCATGGATTATTTCATGTTAAACTGGCATTTTTGTCTGACATGCACGTTAAAAAATGTAAAAATAGCAAACTTAAAATGATGTTGTTCTACTGACCATCCTGAAGTCTTAAGATAAGGTATCCCTATTGTGATAGTGCTGTGTTTTATAGATAGGCCAGATGTGGTGCAGATCCTACATATTTCTTGTATAAATACTGTGGTGGGTCATGTCTGCATCCCAGCAGGAATTATTGTGGATAAAAAAAAAAAAGAATTATTGTGGATAGTTTTATTTCTAAGTTACAGAGAAGTTTTTTTTTTTCTTAATGTAGATGTATTCTACATAAACTTTTTTGTTTTCTTTAATTTAGTGCCTATGACTGTGTGATACCACCTATGGAAAAGGCAGTAGTGAAAACAGATATTCAAATTTCACTTCCTGCCGGATGCTATGGGCGAGTAGGTAAGTAAACAGGCTGTAAAAAAGGCTTTATCAAGACAAATTTGGTAACTGTAGACTGTGGTTGAGGTGGAGCAGTTTCATATGGCCTAGTTTGGTCACCTCTTTCCATTTTTATATAGTCATACAGATTTATTCGTTGTGTATATGTTTGAGCAGCTGCACCCAACTGTACCCATATTAAAGCCATGGTTTGACACAATCCTATTTAGATGGGGCCTAAAGCTTTCCAAATTCTTCTGCATAGAATAAAACCCATGACCATGTGTTTTAAGTCTAGTACTAGACATTTCTTGTCAGAAAGATTTGAGGTTTGGTATATATCAAATGACAAAGGGGCAATTAGCTAGTAAAACGTCTCATAACTTATATACAACTTCATAGGCAATATTTCCCTGTTTTGCTGCAGTTGCAGTATTAGATTCATGGTGTCAGGGTCTGCAGCACATCCCCCTTCTAGGGCTAAGACTGAGCTGAAGGCTGAGGATGATCTGTGCTAGTTTTCATCAGTGAAGGAGCTGACTTTGGTCTTGCCCAACTAAACTCTCTAGCCAACTGAACCAGTAGAAGGGGAATGCACCCCAGCCCCCAATATGCTTACAGGCTAGAATATGTAAACCTTTAACAGGTAATAAGCACATGACAGATGTACCCCTGACTTTTTAAAAACTAACCCTGAAGTAAAAGTACTAGTATAATAAATTTGGCTGGTTACTAAAAGAATCTGTGCAAGGTATTTGGGGATATTTTGTGCATTATCTGGATTATTTATAAATTCTTAACACAGTTAAATAAAAACAGTACCACTCCAGTGGGAGAACATGATAGAGCTTGCAGTGCAAATGCAAAGGGAGAGTGCACATGCATTTTTCTTATCCCAAAATGAAAATTTGGGAAAGGGTGACATTTTAGCAGCCCTATCAAAGTAGTCTAAGATACGTAAAAACTTGGATGTCATTTGATTTACCTGTTATTGTTAGTTTAATGTTTTTAAACTTGAATGGGTTGACTTAACAGTCCTCTGAGATTATTCCAGAAGAGTGGTAACAGCCCAAATAAATTCAACAATCCTTGTCTGTTATAGTCTTCCTCTGTGGAAGAAGTCTTTACTGCATTTGATGGTGTGAATACGGTCTTATTTATAAGATTTAAAGACTGTCAACTGTAGCAGTTGTTACTATTTAGTATATACACCAAAGCACATAGAGTAACGTTCATTAGTTTTTGGAAAGAGACTGAAAAGTGTTCTTGAAGCTTCGTGCAACCCGACTATCTAACTTAGAAATATTGTGTGAGATTTTCTTGTTCAAAGAGGTATTACACTCTCAAATTCTTTTTTTCTAGCACCACGTTCTGGTTTAGCTGCAAAGCACTTCATTGATGTTGGAGGTAAGATTTTTTTTTATTATTATTAATAATTTTTGTAAGTATTGATTAAAGTACATTGGAAGTAGTGTTATTTATTTACAAATTATAAAGTGAAATCATTAACAGCCAGGCAAAAGGGGATAATAAAATTATATAAAACCTTTATATGTTTTGTGACAGTCTTTTCAATCCTAAACTAGAAAATATTGGAATGCAACAAGAAGTGCTTAGTAGGGTAACCTACACACAGTTCTTTGGAAAGCTGATAGTGTACAAGCCACACATGGGGGCATCCGTTTAAAAAAAAAAAAAAAATCTCCATGAGTATTGTCACAATGAAGACACCATTTCAGTAATAGTTAATTTTCTAAAGACCTATAGAGTAAGTAAGGGGTGAGGGAAAAAGATTAGTGAGCAATCAAGAATCTGTTCAGAATTCACATCTGCTAGGTGTGGATGCTTTCCCAACAAGTGACATGCCAAGCTTCTGACAGACTAAGACAGTGTGTCAGTCTGCCAGTTCCAATGCATGATTTTTCCAAAAATGACTTAGATTATTTCCACCCAACATATGTCATTTAGAAAAGTGCCTTCGTGCTCAGCAGTGTGTTAGTTGTTGCAGCTTGCTATTCTGGAAAAGGAGAATGCCAAGGGAGAATTATTATTATTTTTTTTTCCCAAAAAAAAGAAAACACCACTAACTTAACATATTTTGCCAGTACACTGAATTACATAAACTGAGCTTCTGACCCTATACAGAAAGGAGGCTCTTTGGTCCCTAACCCAAGGATAATAGATTCTCTAGTATAAATAGTATAGCCTTACCTCAAAATCCAGATGGTGGATAAATTTCAGTAGAGATAAACACATTTAAAGGAAACCTGATTCCCATACGTAGGGAATTAATCTGGCAAAATCTTCACACTGCTGTGTCTTTAATGTAATTTGAGATTATGGCTTTGGCAGTATTTTGGTTCTTCAGCATAGTATTAGACTAATTTTTTTGTCATAAAATACTTCAAAAATATTGTTTCTTAATACAAACAAACTCCAAGTCCAAGTATGCGTTTGAAAGAGAAGTCTCCCTTCCTTTCCCCATCATAGGAAAGTCATCCTCAGAAGCATATGCGAAGTACAATTCCTGCCTATTAGAAAGTTGGTCTGAAAGCATACTGAAAAAATCTGAATATTACAAGTACCATTTACTCGATGGTTAAACGTAAAAAATCAGAAAGTTTTAAATTTTTTTGCCTCTAAGTAATGCAAGTGACTTGTATTTTAAATATTGCTGACCACATTTCAGCCAAGATGTGTTTATCAGTCTTTTCCATCTTGCATCATAAGAAAAATGGTTTTCAAATCCTAGAGAGCACACCTATCTTCCTCTTTCCACTACGTTTCTTTGGACTTTCCAATCTATTGACTCAGGTCAAAGACACCAAATAAATGGACAATTAATTATAGAAGCTGAGTGAAGCTTAAAATTGTTTTTTACTGTTACCAAATTGTTCAGTTGTTCTTTGTAATGTATCTGTATAGCACAAACTGAACTGACTATCCTCCTTAATTCCATTTTATCACAGCTGGTGTTATTGATGAGGATTACAGGGGAAACGTCGGTGTAGTACTCTTCAACTTTGGGAAGGAATCTTTTGAAGGTAAGCGTTAAGCTTGGCAAAGCACATTTTCAGTCATGTCATTGGAAATACAGGGTTTTGTTGTTTAAGTGGATGAAGAGTTATAATTAGCTGAGAACAGTTTTCTTTTTACAATTGAAGGCATGGAAACTTAAGGTTTTGTTAAGGCAACGTGAGAAGTTTCCACTCTTAGTCAATTCAGTGGCATGGAAAAATTTAGCTAAGCTTTAGATTCACGAGCTGTACTAGAGTACAATTTTGTGGTAAGTTTCTTTGTTACTCAGCATAAAAGATGTTTTAGTTGAACATATTTGAGCTAAACTGCTTCAGGATCTCAGGAAATAATTAGGACTAGAGATGTAGCTTGCTTTTAACTATGGTTTCTGCAATCACACAGGTTTAAGCTTCAGGGGACAATAATATTGCCGTTGTTTTTGCAGCCTATTCTGCAATTTCATAGCACAAACTTATTATGGAGGTTCCATGAACTGGATTGAGGACTAATCAGAGATTTCTGTTTTCCTTTCATTGCTTTTTTCCCCTCCCCTGAGGAATCAGTTTTTACATCTAGTTCACGAGATGCAGTTGTGCATCTAGTTCATCCTGCCCACACCACATGCAACCATCCCACCACCTGTGCAGTATTTACTCATGACACACAACATGCCACAAAACAGCAGCATATGTGAGAGGAGATGCACTAAGCTGGCATTGCTGCTGAAACTTCATCCAAAAAGGACTAAGTACAAGTTTAATATAGCTTGTATTCTTGTGAGTCATTAATGTCCATTTAGCTAATTTTCAGTCCTTACCTTTTCAGGAGTATTGAAGTATTAAAGGGATTGTCTAAACTTTACATTGATTGTTCACTTTATTAAAAAAGGAAATACTAATAATTCATTTTTTCCTCCCCCAGTTAAAAAAGGGGATAGGATTGCTCAGCTGATATGTGAACGCATTTTCTATCCTGAACTAGAAGAAGTTCAAGTAAGTTGCTAAAGGGAAATGCTTTTGCTGTTTTCAAGGATTAAGAGTGCAAGAAAGATTGCTGATAATGCTGAAATTTGTGATATAAATAAATGCATTGCCTTACAAATACCCTTAGTGTTATAACACAAAAGCATTATTATCATAATAAAAAATACTTACTGCTTACATCTAAATTATTTATGGTATGCTATAAGCTATGTGCATGCATTTATTATGCACGCATATGCACGCATATGAAAAACACTTCAGTGTTTTACCAGAAACATGTTTCACAGTGTGTGACTGAAGAGCTGCCTTACAGGAGTGTGTACAAATGGAAACAATAAGGTGCATGGGCTGCTATTATTCCTTAACTCCCATGTGAGAGTAGAAATTGGATGCAGCTCTTCAGTGTGTAGTATGTGTTCAGTTCCTTAAAAAAAGAAAAACAAAAACACTACTTTTAGATGAAGCCTAATGCTGTTGCTTCTTTATTAGTGCAAAACTGTTGTCTCCACAGGGAGACAGGAGTGGTATTTTTCAATGTATCAATCAGTTATGGCCAGAGGTTTGTAAATACCTGTAGCACATTTTCCTTTAAAAGTTACAGCTTTTGCTACAAGAAGAGTAGATTTCTTTCTCTAACTGTTGCATATAAATATTAATGCAAGTTAAGACACTAAACAACTTATAATTGATGTCTTTCAGGCTTTGGATGATACAGAACGTGGCGCAGGTGGCTTTGGTTCTACTGGACAGAACTGAAGATGCTTTCAATATACTTTCTATGGTTATGTTACCTAAGCTTTCTTTTAAAATCAAAGGTAGATGACTAAAAATAGTTTCAGTTTTTTTATACAGACATTACATTTCTTCTTTCTGTTCTTATAGGCAGAATAATTGTTTGAATTAGAGGAAAAAGGTACATAAGTGACCTGACAGATCTGTTCCTGATTTTTTGTTAGTTATTTGGTCCTTGGTACCAAGTACCATTGTTTGTGATAATTATACTGTAATAAATGTAAAAATGACTTGATGATTTGATTTTACTCACCTGAACTAAAAATGTCTGTTCCCGTCTTTTTTAAAAAAAAAAAAAAAAAAAAAAAAAAAACCTGAAAGCATGTTTTTTCATACATTTCAGTATTTCATACCAAGCCTGTTTCATATAGAATCACTGATAATACAGGTATTAATGTAGCTTCCTACTATGTGACCTCTAAATTGGAATAAGGAATCACCATAACAACTCTGACTATCAATGCTTTTCCCCCCCCACCCCACCTCCATCCTTAGCATAACCCTATACTCAAATCCTGTCTCTGTACCCAGACCTTCAGAAGCTGCTTAACTCACAGAAGCCTATTGTGATCAAGGAGTGCATCACACCAATTTATTTGTAAAGCTGAGCTCAACAGGAGGTTTCTTCCTGTGTATAGCTTCCTAGCTCCATTTACCAAAGGCTAGTCAAAAGTCTTAAAGTAACTGATTCTTTTGTGCAAAGCTGTTCCTTCTGGCTGGAGGGTAAGATGAGAACAAGTGTCACTGTTCCTCCTTTACTTTTCCCCCAAAGACCTGGGAGTGTATCCCATGTTCTGAAGTAAGTGGTAATATTTGATAGAAAAAGCATTATTTCAGAAGTTAGGTTGCATGAGGAAGAAACACAATAGGAGGTTAATGGAGGTATGCCCACTTGTTACCAACAAAGTGGGTGAGCACTTCTTGGTAAAGACATTTAAACAGAATATTGTAAAATTTGGTACAGCTGAGTTCCTTTTTGTCATTTTTCAATACTTGTTTAGAAAAGTATGTAAAGAGTTGAAGATCACTGCAAGACTCTTTGCTCGTAGGATCTTAGAAAAGTCTGTCCATCTGAAAAAAAATGCACTCAATTACCTCCACACAGAGGTGCTCCTATATAAATCCAACCACTGCACTAGGATAACAAATTCTAGTAATCCCCTTAATAGCATTGCGGTGAAGGGGTCCTCCTTCAGTAGGAGGAGTGCAGCTGTGGAAGTTAAATTCTTACCACTGTGACACATGTGCCTGTCCCATCACTTCAGCAGAAGATTGCAACTAACAGACATAAATCTTATTTGTGGCTAGAGGAATTCATGTGTCTGAGTCATCCTTATGGACCCATGTGTGTACAAAACTAAAGATGTTTACCTCTGAAACAAATCCAGAGTGTATTGTTTGCAAATAACTTTGAGCATTTAAATAAAAATTATGTTTGGCTTCTCTGTTACCACTGAACAGGTTCAGACAAGGCTATTTTAATCAAGACTTATCTACTGATTATGCTAAAAGGAGTACTTTATCTCCACAGAGGAATTAACTACAGCAGATGCTCTTGCAGAATCTCCATAGTGTAAGTTAACATAGTACTTTTAATAGAGGAAATAATTTTGGGGGAATTCTCAATTAGAGCAGAAGAGGGCTTTTTTTCCTGCAAGGAAAGGAAAAGTACATTGTTAGCTAATGATCTGGCTGCTTTCTCCTAGAAATGACTTGATAAAAGTTAGACAGAGGTAGTGATACCATTGATCTTTAGGTGTTTCATGGATTCCCCAAAGTATAAACTTTTATCCTTGATGGTGCAAATTCAAACAAGATTTGCTCAATTCAACTACAGCTGTATTGTTTCTGTTGCATGGTCAGGTTTCTTTGGGATCTATCAAGAGTTTTTAATAAAATAGCCACTAGATGGCACTTAAAGTTTGCTTTCTATCCCACTTTTTGTTTCCCAGATATATTTTTCAAATATCTGTTCATCCATAACTAAGAGTTGATGACTCCCATTGGGACTGTGTTGGCAGAAAGCAAAATGCAGCAATATTTGAGTGAAAGCAGGCAAAAGTATAACCATTAAGGCTGGGGGGGGAACAATGACTATAATTTAAATAAGATTTGGGTGGTTGCAGTGTTTGCATAATCCCTCCTGGCATGCAAGAGCAGTAGAGAAGCCTGTGGCTTTGCTCTCCTGCTGTGTTTCAACAAAAATGGAAAATCGTAATGAACAGCAACATTTTTCCTATCTTCCATATTTGCTGTGTTCTCCCGTCCCTTCCTTTCAGTGCAACTGCATTGGAATGCAACTTACTTAAAGATTGCTGTAACAAAACTAGCATATAGCTTGCTAATCTCTCCATTGGGTTCTCCAAATTAGATGCTTTTTGCTGCAAGTTCTGAACATAAATTAAAGTTTACTTAACACACATTAACCCAGTAAATGCAGATGGCATATGGTAGCAGGAGAATTATGCAGGACTTCGGTTAAGGTTCTCCAGTTTCTATATTGATAACTACTCCTGTATACAGGCAGGCCCTGTTGTGTTTGTCTTCCCCCCACACCCATCCTTTTTTTTTTTTTATAAGTAAACTTCTATGACCCTGCCTATTTCCTGTCCTGTCAAACCTTTCCTTGTAAGAATAACAGTGTCCTTTTATTTGGTGGAGTGTAGCATGATGTTTTTGGCAGGCCTAACATTTTTGACTTGCATAAATTTGTGACCTTAAGTGCAAGAAGAATGAATGCTTGCTTCAGTGCCTCATGGTTTCTGCCTAAAAAGAAAAGTGTCCACATTGCTAATTTTTCTGCAGAAACCGTAATGATTATCAGCACACTTATTCCACCTGATTGCACATGACTGCACTTCCAGAGAAAATAATCAGAAATAAAAATGAGTATTTTGTACCTAGTTATGTAAGGTACAATCTGTCTGAAAATATAGGGCAGACTGTACTGTCTTATTGATTTCTAGAATTGGCACACATGGCATTTGCCTCACTGCCAGCTATTTGACAATCCCTACCTAAGGATTCTGCAAAGTGCAAGCTTTGAGCTGCTGCTGGACAGAGAGTATGATTTCTAAATGTTGCAGGATAAGGGGAAGTGAATTAATGCAGTTGTTTTCCAAAGCTTCCTTCCACTAACTGTGGAAATTCAAAATAATGCTTTTTCCCTACGCTTGTTAGTGCAAACATCCCCTTTTCCCTGCTAAGTCCAAATAAAGTCCCAATAAAGTAATGATGTAATCTGAGAGCCCACAACCAGAAATTATCTACTAAATTTTATTATGGAGAATACACTGAAATAAGTGTGAGCTATGTGCACACACCTGTGTTTCCCTGGGGACTTCAATAATTTTCAGTTATGTTGCAATCTAACACTAATCATTGTCTCAAAGATGTATATGGTAGATTTTGTAGCAGTTAAAAAAATAGGTTTATATAATTTAATGTTTCTTTTAGTCTTAATGTTTAAAGTCAATGTCCTTGAACCAAAGAAAGTTTTCTTTTGATTACTATTGATTATGGCAAAGGAATGTTTGTTTTTGTTTTGTAAAAGGAATAGCAAGCAGCCATGAAAGTAGTATCTTTGGCCAGATTCTTTTAACATGAGTATTTTGTGGTTTATGAATTCCTAGCCAGTCCGAAAGGTTGTCTCTAGATATCCAAGGCAAAATAACTGTCCTAGTTGGATGAACATTTTTCCCTTTGCAAGTAAGCCGTTTCTGTGTGCCGTGTCTAGAGACAGGCAGCATCTAGTAACTGATGCTGTTTTGCTAACACGCCTTAATCCTGTCTGCCCACAGCCTTTCCCCTTGTGCCCGCTCCCATTCAGATCCGTGCTGCGTTACAGGTGCCCTCCCTTTGGGTACAGGGGCATGGCAGGAAAATCCACTGGTTGGTGCTTTGGGTTTCCTGCTGTGAAAACTTTACCTCACTTGCCTTCCCCCTCCACTTCCATGCAGAAGTTACTGCTGGCAGAGAGCCCATCCATCAGGAGCATTACAGGGATGCAGGCCATTAAAATACTGCAAGAAAGTGGCTTCTTTCTCCCCATGCTATCTTAGGACAGGGCATCATAGCAATACAAAGCCTGGTGGCAGTCACCAGGTCGAGAAAGGAAGAGAAGCTATTCAGAAATTTTAATCCTGATCTCACCTTTCTTCTCAACTTGCATTAAGGTATTAATAGTGCAGGAAAACTGAAAAAGGAGGGAGTTGTATCAAAGCCAGGAAATCGTGGATTCAGCAACAGAGCACTCATTGTCCTCGCTTGACATGAGGAGGAAGAAGAGACAGCTGAGTCATCTTCGTGATTTTTTAGTTTGGTTTTTTTTTTTTTTTTTTTTTGATTAATCACATCAATTAATGTAAGTTCCCTGGGGAAAAACTGGATAAACCCAGCCTGTCAGACAGCTATCAGGTAAAAAGCTGAGCTGCTGTTCTGGGGAGGCAGCAAAGTAGTGGTATTTTTGCCAAGGTATCATTCCTTGCCCAAGTGCAGCACTACATCAGTTTTTATCTAAGAGAAGCTGATGCTTTAAACATTTCCGTTACTTCTGGAAACATGACAAACACTATGTTCCTGCCCAACCACTTGCACAGAGCCTCTAGGCTGTTGCACATAACTTTCCCAAATGCCAGCTGAGAACAGTCAAAATGGGCAAGTCTGAGCACGCTTTCACCATTGTATATCAACCAAACTGGGAGTCTTCTGCATAGGAGAACTTGCCTCCATTTGTGTTTGGTTTGTATTTGGAAGCCTTTCCAGATGTTTAGCATTTATGGAACAGTCTAGAGTCGGCAGAAAAGCCCTGCTTGGACACTTCTGGAAAGTTGAGAGCCTATCACAACACTGTGGTTCTCACAAACTTGTGGGCTCCCAGCACATGATTGCTAATATACAGCTATTTGTATATAATTACTTTTCTGCTAATAAAGTTGATTTAAATATTGTGGGCTACACTAATAACAATAATAAATTGGACTGC